TGACAGTTATGGTGTTTGGCCATCCTATCACCACAGTAGGTCAGTTCCGGCTGTCTCTCGACCATTGCCAGTAGTCTATTGTGAAGGTATCTTTGTGGATTTCTGGGCAAAAAGTCATTCTTAGTCTGAGTATCCTGAAGCAATTTTTCAAGGTCATTCAACTGTGTGAGACAGTCCTGTTGCTGTTTGGCCCAATCACTTCTGTCTGATGAAAACAGCTCTTGCATTTGTGTAGAATGGTGCTCTCGTTTGTCAACATGCTGTTGAAGTTTCAGGTTTTTATGCTTTTCTTCATCCAGCTTGACTTGAAGAGCTCTCAGTTGTTCCTGCACAGTTCGCACTTTTAAAGAACCAATACCAATCTAAACAAAGTGATATGTAGGAGTTGGCTGGGATTTTCAGGATTCATTCTTTTTATTTTCTTTCAAAAATACATTTTCAGCCGGGCGGTGGTGGCACACGCCTTTAATCACAGCACTCGGGAGGCAGAGCCAGGTGGATCTTTGTGAGTTTGAGGCCAGCCTGGTCTACAGAGCAAGATCCAGGAAAGGCACAAAGCTACACAGAGAAACCCTGTCTGGAAAAACAAACAAAAAAACAAAATACTTTTCAGCACGCAACTTTTCTGTCTGTTTCTGGAGAAACTCTCCAGCTACATCTGATAAGTAAGAAATTTATCAGCCTGTGAGTCCAGCTCCCAAGCCACTATCCAGGGTAAGTCGGAGAAGACTTCTCAAGAGTGAGGATAGAAAGATTTCTTTAATAACTTCACACACGATCTGTTCAGGTCATGCTCTTTATTCTTCTTCAGCTCTAATTCTACAGCTTCTTTTCAGCTCTAATTCTACCTAAGTTCTAATTCCTTCCTCCTAGTTTCTAATTCCTTCTAAGTTCTAATTCTTTCAAAGTTATATTTCTCTCTAAAAATCTCTTTGTCTCTACACAGTTACATCCTTTACATACAGTTATATATCTTTATTTAAATGCCTACATCTCTCTCCTACAAGGCCATACATGTCTATACACAGTTACAACATCTCTTTTACATAATTTTCTCATCATATAGCACTTTACACAATTCCTCACACTCTCTCACAAAGCTCTTTACATAGTTCCTTCACACAGCTCCTCTACATAGCAGCAGCTCTTTCACACATCTCTCTCTCACACACACACTTGATCTACATCACTCTCTCTCTCACTTCTCTCACATTTCTTCTTCTATCTCTCACACTTCTTTATCTTTCACACTTCTTTCTCTACACATTCAGCTACATCCCTCACTCAGCACACACACACACACACACACACACACACACACACACACACACACACACCAGCCAACTCTGGACAGTAGGTTATTTTTTGGGTCCAACTCATGCTCATAACATGTGATAAGTCACACAGTTTTCCTCAGGCTAGCGAGGTCACATTGAGCAGCCAGTGAGAAAGTAAATGGTCAGTTGACTGAGCCTTTAGCCTGTAACATAAACTGAGGCTGGGATTAGGTGCAGAAAGTCAAATACTGCAGCAGGTGGTTATGTCTTAATGATGTCAGCCTGACTTTGGTTTAACAGACACTTGGGAATTTGTGCTTGAGTATTATTATTTGCAGGGTCAGCTAGTCTGTTTTGAATTTGCTCTAAAGTCTAAAATTAGCTATCTTTGTAGCTGAGAATACTGTTACTCTCCTATGTCAGTTATGAATAATATTCTAATATTATTTCTGTTCATCAAAATTATACAGCTTAAGCAGAAATCATCTTCCTGACCATCTACAGCAGTATGTCTGCCCAAAAGATGTAAAACACACTACCAATGGGCTGTGGAAGTACCCCACAGCTGGTTTTTTGTTTTGTTTTGTTTTTAGGTAAGAAATGCAGTGGCACATGAGAACAATTACAGACAGAAGCAACCTGTCATTTATAGTCAGTGACTCCATAGCTTTGCCAGGTGGGGCTCCCCATCAAAGAGTTATTCATCTGCTAGGTCGACCTGTTGAATACTAGTTGTTACCTGCTGTACACTCCAATTGCCTCTGGTAAAGCCATTTCTACCAGCATCTCTCAGCAAATAAAACAAAGACCTAAGAAAATAAAACAAACTAACTAACAAAATAAAACCAGAAAGATTTCTCTGATGGACAGGTACACGTGTCCCAAAGTGTCCCCTTTGGATCATCCAGGCAGTTTTTAAAATTAATTCTCAAAAGGAATCTAACAGTACCTCATTACCTAAAGAACATGGTGTTGATAGGGTTCAATTTGTTTTTACTTTTGATAATGTGTTTATAAAGCTGATGTAGAGAACTGAGTACTTGGGTAAACTGTGTTCACTGCACAGTACATGTGCCCAAGGAGGGATTGCTACACCTGTGTGGCAGAACATTTCTGTAAACAGACAGTTCTCTCCTGCTCACCAATTCTAGAATAACCACTCAGAGGCTTACATTAATTATAAATGCCTGGCTTTTATAATGCTCAGGCTTATTTCTAACTAGCTCTTACATTTAAATTAACCCATAATTCTTATCTGTGTTTATCCACATGGTTGATGGCTTGTTACCTCATTTTTTACATGTCTTCCTCACTGGCTGGCTGGTATCTGCCCGACCTCACCACTCTCTTTCCTCCTTAGCTTGGTTGTTATGCCCATACTTCCTGTCTACCTACCAGCCAGTTTGCTTTATTATTAACAATGAGAGCAACACACATTCACAGCATACAGAAGGACATCCCACAGCACATCCCAAAGCTCAAGTATCCTTTTCTTTTGAATGGGACCCTGGTCCTTCCAGAGCAAATGGCATGTTACCTTCTTTATGAGAGAAGGACACATGGGATGGTAAAGTTTGCCAGAGTCTGTTGCTCTTGTTTCCAGATTGCAGGCAGGCACACTGAAAGCCTCTTATCACTAGAAAAGATGAATTATTCCTCCTACAACAGGGGGATGGATTATTTCACAGGTTTATTGTTGTTAAGGATTGTTCCCCTAACTTGGGTCTTCTGTATTTCCATGTGAAATTTAGTATTGTTTTTCAATTTCTTGGAATTGTATTGAAATTTTGATGAAGACTGCAATAAACTTGTTTGTTGCTTTTGGTAGGATGTATATTTTCATAATTTTTATCCTAACAATCTATAAGGATGGGAGGTCTGTCTATTGTCCAGTATTTTCAATATCTTTTTTTCCAGTGTCTTAAAGTTTTTATTGAACAAGTATTACATTTGGTTAGATTTATTCCAAGACCCCCTCACTCACCCCCGCTTTTGAGACTTTTGTGAATGAGATTGTTTCCTTCATTTCTTTTCCATATGTTTGTAATTTGTACTTAGAAAAGCTCCCGACTTTTCTATGTTTGTCATGGTGTTTTATCACAACCACAGGAAAGGAACTAAGACAACTGGTTATTGTACAAAGTTCCTAAATGAGACCTGGAAACTAGTTATGATGCCAAATGTATTTTTTAAAGCATTTTATCAGGTGCAGTCTGAATGCATGCACACACAGTCATTGCTTTGCAAATTTTACTGTACTTAAGTCAGGACAAGTTTTATGTGAACCTCATAATTGCCTCTTGTTCCTCCCCATCAGTGCTTTCTGTCTTCTCCATTGTGGTTCTGACTTTTGTACTGTTTTTAAATGGGGATTGGGCACATTTTCTGCTGCTCTTCACCACATTGTGTGGTTTATCTGTTCTAAGCTTGAAGTTGTCTTAAGGTGGTATTTTAACTGAATCCAAAAATTATTCCTAAAGTCATGGAAAGAAAGTCAAAACTCTTATAAATAACAAGACTTATTGATCCTTGGAAGTAGAAGTGGGTATTTGATGACCAGCACATGTCCTACTTAGGGTTCCTATTGCTGTGATGAAACACCATGACTAAAAAGCAAGTTGGAGAGGAAAGGGTTTATTTGGCTTACACTTCCACATCACTGCTCATCATTGAAGGAAGTCAGAATAGGAACTCAAATGGGTAGGAGCCTGGAGGCAAGAGCTGATGCAGAGACCATGGAGGGGTGCTGCCTACTGGTTGTTCTAATGGCTCACTCAGCCTTCTTTCTTCTAGAAACTAGAATGGCCAGAGCAGGGATAGTCACACCCACAATTGGGCTGGGCACTGTCACCCCAATGGCTAATTAAGAAAATGCCCCACTGGCTTGCCTACAGATGATCTTATAGAGACATTTTCTTTTTTTACTTAATTTTATTTAATTAATTTTTAAAATTCATTTTACATACCAACCACAGTTTCTCCTCCCTCCATTTCTCCTGTTCCCTCCCCCTGACTCCCTTCTACCTCCTTCCACATTTACTCCCCCTCCTCCATTCAGAAAAGGGCAGGCCTCTTTGAACATGGTACATCAAGTGGAGGTAGGATCAAGCTCCTCCCTAGAGACATTTCTTGTGTTTTGAGATTCCCCACTCTCCAGTGAATTTAGTTTATATCAAGTTGATATAAAACGAGACAAGACCATGTTCTTCTAGCATGTGTTCCTAGATGGCAGGAGTTTTATTAGCATAGTCACTGCAGTTGGCCTGTCATATTTGTCAAAGATTCAACCAATCATACATTGAAAATTAGGAAACAAATGACACTTCTGCTCTGAATATCGTCATCCCCTGAATTACACAGTATAAACTATATAGCTATACAAATTAGATATTATAAAGAATCTAAAGAGGATTTTAAATATGTAGGATGGGAGTATTTAAAGTCTAAAGAATGTTCATAGGCTGCATGCCATTTTAAAGATAACATAATATCTGTAAGCTTTGGCTCCTACAGAGTGGGGTGTCAGGCCCTTCTTTCAAAAACCACAAAGAGCCTTGGCTTTGCACAGTAAAGAATTTTGTTTAGAGTTTACTGAAAGAATGTTTTAAAGAACTGGTCTGAGCAGAAATGGTCAGAAGTGTGAAGGGGTCTTGAAAAGTGAGGATGTTGCTTAGAATTCTTAGTCACTTGACTGGTTCTAATTCATGGTTTTGCTCTTCATAGTTTTTCTCAGATCTGTCAATATTATCAGAAAGCTTATTACCTGGGCTCTCCTGGATTCTATACATTAACATTCCTCATTATGGATTTACAGTAAGTTGTCCTTCTGTGACTGTACTTGGGGTCTCCAATTTTAGCAACTGAAATGAATCCCAGCCAAGTCCTTTCCCCAGCTGTAATCTCTAACCAGCAGCTGCCCAGGATTTTCCTTCCAAGAGCAAAAGATGAGAACTTTCCTGTTAATTCTAGCCAAATGTCAGTGAGTTATCTGGGTTTTTCCTTAGTCACATGTTATTTGAGAGACATAAAGGGTGAGAAAAACCCCAGGGTAAAGAGGAAAGATAGATGATGTAATGAGAAGTATGCAGTTGTGACTCTATTCAATACAGTAATAATGAAAGGATCTGGGACTAAGATATATAGTTTATATCAGGAAATTAAAAGAAATAGAAACCATGTGATATCATAGCCATATTGGATTTGCCAAGTTTTCTCTGCAGTAAAGTATGTCTTAACAGACTTTCTTACTCCCATGATCGCAATGTTTGGATGAAAAGAAACAAGAAATATTGTTACCGTGAATCAATAGTATTGTTTTATCACAGTGTTTACATGGTCATGGGCTGGGCAGAGAAGGGGGTGCCTGAGGTAATCTAGTTAGAAAGTTCACCTCTTAGTAGTTGGGAAGCCCCATCATTTCAATCCTAAACCTCTTGTGTGTGAAGGAGGGGCAAAGCTTGGCTGGGCAGACTGAACTCGATGAAGTATTGTTTGTTTAATTTTTTTTTTTTGTAAATTATAGTCAAGATTGAATTTGAATTTATAGCTGTATTTATTCTTTAGAAACTTATGGAAATATTAAACTATTTGCCTTTCCCTGTTCCTGTTTGTGTTACAGGCTTTGCAGCACAATGAATTCCTGGGACAAAACTTCTGTACAGAACATAACACAGCAGAAGTCAGTAGATGTCGGAACTATGTAATGTAAGCCTGAGTTCAGTGTTATAATGGAGACATAGAATGATCCTAGGCTTAGAGGGAAACCCATACTTTCAGGGTTAACACTCTGTCCTCTCCCAGTTCCCCAGAAGGAATCACTGTAACCAGTGCACACATGGATGTGTTTTAATCCCACTGCTCTATGGTGTAGAATGTGCAGAAAGGGTTCTTTGGGCCTTTAAAAAATGGTTTTGGTTGTGTATTTGAGTTCGTTTCAGAACATTTGAGTTTGACCTAGGTGCTCTGATAGTTAACAAGGACACTCAGTTTCTACATGTATAGACTATGGTACCTGTGAGCAGAGCCCAAGAACATCAGGGCAGCAAGGGCCAAAAGGACTGAGCTTTGCTGCCAGCATTTAGGGTCTTCCCTCTGTCTCATACTCTAGAGGACTTCAAAGCCTGGTGTGTGTGTTTGTGTGTGTGTGTGTGTGTGTGTGTGTGTAAAATGTCCTACAAGAGGACATGTCCTGCAATGAAAGAAACACATATTTCAGCATCTTGAGAAGGAAATACCACTTACATCTAATACCATTAAAATAGAAACAAAAAATTTTAATAAAATAAAAGTGTATTATTCTAAATTTACAATACCTTCTCTTTCTATGATTGCTTTCATTGATTTATTTATGATATATAAGTGAGAGAGGAACATGCTGATGTTTTAAATCTCTCTTGGATGTTCAAAATAATAGTGAATAATCATAACCCAAATTATGTTTGAATTACTTATAAGAAAACAAGTATGGGGGAATATCTTATTTCTGATATCTCCTCTCTCCTACTGTGGTCTGTCATCCTGCTAACACAAATTCCTTACCAGTTTCTATTCGGAATGACGGGGTTGGGTAAAGATAAACCAGAGGTGGGACCTCATACTCACAAAAGGATTGTTCTCACAAGAGGAATAAGAAATCTGCCCTTTCAGCAGATTTGAAAACTATTAAATTACAAGAGATACAATGGAATGGAGACACACAGAGATGGAGACACACAGGGATGGAGACACAGGGATGGAGACACACAGGGATGGAGATACACAGGGATAGAGACACACAGGGATGGAGACACACAGGGATGGAGACACACAGGGATGGAGACACACAGGGGTGGAGACACACAGGGATGGAGATACACAGGGATGGAGACACAGGGGTGGAGACACAGAGATGGAGATTCACAGAGATAGAGACACACAGATATGGAGACACACAGGGATGGAGACACACAGGGATAGAGACACACAGGGATGGAGACACACAGGGATGGAGATACACAGGTTGTGATTGTAGTGTATCCAGAACTTTCAGCAGCAGCTGCTTTTCTAACCTGTGCCAGGGCCCCTGCATCCTGCTGTGCTCCACCTGCTACCCAGGCTCTCTTTGTAGCCATGAACTACTGGGGATGTTCCATAGCTGAGCATCCATGGTTGTCATGCTCCCTTAGTAGAGTGCCTGACAGGAATGGACTGACTCCTGTCAGAAACCCTTAGTCTCTATGGTCCTCAGTCTAGAATTTGATGCTGTGTTTACTGCATGACTGTCTACTGAGTCAGCAGAACTGCACAAAGATTGATCTCTTAGAGTGTCTGTGTGTCATTAGGAAGCTGAGGTTTTCCACTTCGGGAGAAACAAGTCCTTCATCCATGCCTTTGCCCTTTGAGGAGAGGGCAGCATTGTAAATTTGGAAATGGATGACACAGTGAAGACTACAATGTTGGATATTAGTTTGATTCTCTAACCTCGGACTACTTTACTGAGCCTACTTCCTCTATGCATTTAAATAGATGTGATAGCTACACCTCTTTGGATGATTTTTGAAATTAACAAAGTGACCTGATACAAGTAGGTTAGATTAACATAATATATAACAAAAATGTAAGTACTTCATTACTGCCATCAATTGAATGTAAAGAGGAATTTTTAATGATATGTTGAAACTATGAGTTTTTAAAAAGAAGCAACAGTGAATGTACTGAATAAATTTTGACATTATTTTTGTGTGTGTTGAATTACAGATGTACTGGCGAAGAATTCTTGATGATCCAGGGCATTGATCGCTCATCATGGGGCTTCTGGAAGAATCACGTGGCCTTAGCTTGTATAACAATTATCTGCTTATCATTTACCTATGCACAGTTATTAGCTCTTTATAAAAAGAGACATTTTTAAATCACTCTTCCACTTTCTTTGAATTATTCTGATGTTAAAAAAAATAAAAACTTTGCTGGTGGCCATGTCAGAGGAACATCAGGTAGCACTTGAATTCAGGAGTTTGACCCACCAGAATGTAAGGTATTGGTGAAATTATTAAGGCCACTCCACTTAGTTAAAAGGAAGATTTATTTAGTGGGCAACTTACAAAAAGGGAAAGGTAGGTCGCAGGGTCTGGGAAGGTGTATTGCAGTCCAGCGGTGTTCTCTGGAGCTCTGCTTGGTCCACTTCCAATGTTCAGGATCCCGGCACAGCAGCGGTGTTCTCTGGAGCTCTGCTTGGTCCACTTCCAATGTTCAGGATCCCGGCACAGAGAGAGCGCTCGCCCATCGGCACAGAGAGAGCGCTCGCCCATCCAGATCTCTGGTCTCCAGGCGCCTCCCCTGGCCCCGCCTCATAGGCGTGACAGTTGCCAATCTCAATGGGGGTTAGAACTTCCAGATCCAAGCTGGAATGGCTACCCAGTACAGTAAGGCACTGATGGGTGAATCTTGGATAGGCAAGGCCCTGAGGGCTTTGGCTTCAGAATATCTCTTGCTAGTACTGTGCCTTTATATGTTTGCTACTGCAATTTTTCTCTGTTATCTGGCATGGTGTGAATGAGGGCAGGGGATCCCCACTACCTTTAATGTAATGTGATTATCTCATGGAAATATCTCATTCTACTGGGCATTTTAACTGTGGATTATTATGAAGTTGATTTCCTATTAGCCTGTACTGTTTAACTGAAGTAATGATTTTATACAATAATAGTGGCAGTTTAAATAGAATTTTGATGATTAAGGGTTTTTAACACATGTAGTAAGGGATTATGATAGAGGTTATTTTAGTTGGAAAATTAATATAGGTAAAGTAGGATATAGTGTTAACCCCACCCCTGATAAAGCAGGGGCTGCATAGGATAGAAAATAGGACCAAGGAAGTGTCATCAGCTGGGACTTATGAGTTTCTCTTGAGGAGCCTATAGACTGGGGTTTAGGTAAATGATTAAGGAAAACAATTGAGTTGGAGGAATTAGCTCAAGATCTTTTCGGTATTGGAAAATGTTTTCATGGAGTTTGGAGTGCATCATAGCTAAAACAAAGCTTTAAATAATACTTCCTGTAACTGGAAAACAAAGAATTGGATGGTTAGTTTTGATAATTTGGCAGAACTCTAAAATATGAAAAGAGAAACTAGCTATCTGTTTTTCTGGCAATTGTAAAAACTCCTGCCTAAGTTAGCAGTTATGAATGAAAGGCTTCTGTTTTATGAGAATTCCAAAAGATAAATGCTTAACTATATGCAGGTGCTTGGGGAAAATTTGTTTTTAACTTGTAATACATAAAATGTTTATTCATGTAAGGGAAATGGGGAACATGCTTTTTTTTTTTAACTTGTATTCATTGTAATCATTCACTTAAAATGGACTGTAACCCATTGTAATTTTTATTTTTCTTGAAAGATTCTGCTAGGGTCTATTAGCTTCAAGGAAAAAATAAAGAATTTAGAAGGAAGTCATCAGGAAGCAGTGAGAAGGAAGTCATCAGGAAGCAGTGGGAAGGAAGTCACTAGGAAAGAGAAAGAAGGGAAACATCAGGGTAGAAGAACAGAACAGAAAAAGGATAGAATAGAACAAGCAATGGAAACAATAATAAAGTGAAGAACTAAGCTTTGACCCTCAGAAAAGTCCTAGTGTGTCTGTTTGTCTGTCCAGTAGTTCACCTGCTCTGCATCTACTCTTCAGTTTCTCTGACCTCCTAAAGGCTTGCCATTCATCAACACCCTAAGTGAAAACCTGACATGTTGGAGATGTATGCGTGTGTGATTCCCCTTTTCACTGACCAAGAGAATTAAGGTACACTCTCAGGTAGAAAAGTCAATGGAGTGATAAGTCCTCTGACTCCATGGCTCACCTTCAATTCCTGGTATGCTGAAGGCTGGTTTCTACAGCAGCAAACTTTATTTCCTTATAAATCTAGAAAAAAAAAAAAGAGCAACTGTGGTCTGCTGTAGAATATCTTTCTGTGTGCTGTGAATATATGTTGCTCTGATTGGTTTATAAATAAGACACTGATTGGCTAGTAGAGAGACAGGAAGAATTCAGAGAGGAGACGCTGCTAGCCGCCGCCAGTAGAAGCAAGATGTAAAGTACCGGTAAGTCACAGCCATGTGGCAAGGTATAGATTTATAGAAATGGGTTAATTTAAGATGTAAGAGCTAGCTAGCAAGAGGCCTGCCATAGACCATACAGTTATAAATAACATAAGACTCTGTGTGTTTATTTGGGTCTGAGTGACGGCAAGGCCGGGTGGGACACAGGAAAACTTCAAGCTACATTTGACTGCCCAACGTGAATCAATAATTTTTGCTGAAAGCCCAAGAAAGCTTTAAAAATAGATTCTAAAACTGAGCTAAAAACAGCTTCCTAGTGTATCTCTCAGATCAGCTGTGGCCTGTGAGCTTGAACTACACCATGGCGGATTCGAGGTGTGTGGGGGACATGAGCACAGCATGGCAGAATCCTGCCGCAGTACACAGAGGTGTCTCCAAGCCATGTAACATGGTGCATGGTGGATATAGCTTTTGCTAGTACACACACACACA